GGAGGGATGAAAGCTCTGCAAATGAATTCATTGTGACAACCTTTGTGAAGGATCCGAGTGTTTGATCTCTTAAAAGATTTAATAATTCTTTGGCGAGATTAAAGAATAAAACTGGAGGAGGAGAGGAAGTTAACTTTATTTTCCCCGATTCTGTCAAAATAGTAAATAAAAAAGAGCAAATCCCTAAATTTAGTTGGCTTCTCCCCACATCACCTTGTTTTTTTGGGTGTTGATGCATGTCATGTTTGAGTCCTTCTAGTAGAGGAACACTTGGAAATGTGACCCCTCAGATAAAGATTTTGGGCAATGATCTAATGTGCTGCTATTCAATGGAAATGGATCTAAAAAGCAAAGTAATTAAACGCCTGGAAATCAGAATTTCCAGCATGTTGGGGTTTATGATGTTTACACATTTCCAAAAGGCCAGACCTTCAACCACAGGGTTGGGTTTGGCCCCTGACTGCTGAACCAAGCAAGATCTGAAGGTCTTTGCACTGCCACTGCTAAAATACATGAACTTTTGGTTTCTGGTAGCTTAGAAAACCCTGCAGTTTAAATGTTTTCTTAAAACTACCTCAGATTGCTGTGATGCAAACAGTAAATTCTTGTTATATCTTTTGAGGTATTACTTAAAAAAAAAACCAAAAAAAACCCCTAAATAACCAAAACTAACCCCCCAGGAATTAAAACTGGTAGACTTTTCTATCAAATGACTCAGTATTACTCTTATTTTAAAATAAGGCAATTATCTCTGCTGCAGTTTTTGGGGGAATCAAACTTTTCTGCTTTGAAGAAGTACTGCTAATTTAAACATGAGGATTTTTTGGGTTAGCCTGGTCATTTTCTACCTTTATCTAGCAAACAAATAAATACAGTTTGACTGGTAACAGCTGCCATGTACAAGTGGAACAGGGTAGGAAGAGTTTTGTAATCATTTCTCCATCAAATACTGAACAGCCTTTCCTATGATAAGACCCCAGGGTCCTCTGGGCTGAGCCAGAAACTCCTCTGGACTGGAGCTGCACAGGAAGGGCACTCAGTAGAGGCATCTATTTCAAAAGCCACTCATAATGAAGATTAATTAGACCTCCTTTAGCAGCCCAAAGTTAAATACACACAGCCAAGGCCTTGGGCTTCCTCACAGCACCAGAAAGTTTCCATGGAAAGCAGAGAAGAGTAAAAAGTGGGCGAGGGAAGAAAGAGGCTCAGCTCCCATGTAAAGTTACTGTAAAAACGTGCCAGGATTGATTTTTCTTGTTCACATTCAAGGATAAAATGCCTCAAGGGGCACTTTGAGCAAGGTAGGGGTCATGTTCTGGGACTGTTTGCAGCAGTGCAGCTTCTCCAGCCACGTTCTATTTTACTGCCTTTTCGGTGCCTAGGGCACCCCAGTTCCTTTATTCCATGCAATATTCCCAGTTCCTTCATTCCATGCAATATTCCCCGTTCTTTCATTCCATTCAATATTCCCAGTTCCTTCATTCCATGCAATATTCCCAGTTCCTTCATTCCATGCAATATTCCCAGTTCCTTCATTCCATTCAATATTCTTTCCTTTCAAAAGGCCAAACTCATGTACCTGTATCTTGAATTTTTCAACCACAAGCTGGGTTTTGAGTGGACTTCAGAGCTTTGCATAGACACTTTTCCTTCTTTCCCTTCCTCTGAGACATCGCTTGGGCTCGGATGCGGTCTGGGGTGAATTTATGCTTTGATCCCACATTCCTGGCCTAGGATAGGAATGAAAGCTGGACTTGGTGATCTCAGAGGTCTTGTCCAACATTAATGAGTCCATAATTTTATTATTTTTAACCAGGCACTGATACAGGGTGCTCTGCAGCTGAGGGTGACCTGTACTTTTCCAGCTGCAGGATGCCTTGGAGTGGCTGAAGAAGGAGGGGCTGTGTCCAATGGATTCAGTAGGTTTGACTTTTCCAAACCCTTCCTAGGCCCAGGCTGTCCCCACTCAGTGCTTTGGAAGGCGCCCTGAGTGTCCCCAGCACCTCTGGGCACACAAAATCCTCTCCGTGCCCCATTGTCAGGGCTGCTGACTGCTCTCATCAACTTCAAGTGCCATCGAGTGCTCAGCACAATGGCAAACCGAGCCCTCCACTTCTTTTAAAGTGATCTTTGGGGTTTCATATTTATTTGCAAACCGGGGGCGGCGCGGATCCCGAAAGAAAAGGGTTTTTCCTCTTCACCCGGAGCTGGAGGTGGACACACGGAGCCAAGGCATGTTCTGCCAGCACAATGGCAACTTATGAATAAGATCATACTTGTATTTGCATTAACACGGCTGGCTTCTCCAGGCAGTTTTACATAATCTCCTTTTCAATGGGGAAGGGTGTCATTTCCCCTTCATTTCATACAGCCCCGCTTTGAAAATGTAGGGAGGAAGTATTTAAAGAAAGTCCGCATTTTATGAAAGGGAAAATTGCCGGCGTTCCTTTGTGTGTCTCAGTAGGATTTGGATAGATTACTCATACTTAAAAAGGAAGGGAGCTTTTGCTTTCTCTTCCCCTTTTTTAAAAACTTGCATTAACATGATGTATTGACATATTACAAAATCCAGGGAATGCTGGAGAGTGAATCAACCGCGGCTTTGTCCACGAGTTGCAACAAATTCTTAAAACGTCGTCACCTTCTGAAATAAAATTGTCACATTTTGGATACAGGCAACTTTTATAAGGACTAAAGCTCCACTTCTGAGATAGGGACAACAGCGTGTGCTCTCTCACTTGCTTTTTCTTTCTGTTTAAAAATTAATTCTCTTTTAAAATGTTTTTTCTCCCTTTTGATCCAATGAGCTGGGTACGAGTGCAGCACGTTTGAACCATTTTCATAAATCAAGCAACTGGAATAGATTTTAATACAGAATTGTATTACTGCAGGAATGCCAGGCATGCAGGCTCGAAGCACTAACACTTCTATTAGATGAATGGAAGCCAATCCTTTCGCTGTAAGCATATTAAAGGAAAATAATTCCCCTGCTACATTTTGGAGGTCTCTGATGTCAAAAATCCTCCCTGAAGTAACTCACAACTTTTTGCCTGAGTTGTCCTGGCCTCGGGGGTGTTAGAGCTGGTCAGTCACACCCTGAGGAATATGTTTTACAGGAGATATTAAAGCCCACTGAGCAGCTCTCCTCTCTCTGACATCCTTGGAGTAAAAATAAAGTCATGGAGAAGTAGAACACCAAGGTTCAGTGCTGGAAGAAGCTATCAGCTCCCACAAAGGCTTTCTATTCCTTCCAGGACCTATATTTATATTTGCTGATGACTCCTTGTCAATCTGACACTTGCTAATCAACCTTTGATGATAATTGTAATTCTTGCTAAGGACACTTCATCCTAGGAGGTCAAAAGGACATTTTGTACACTGAAATGCACTCTGTGCCTGTGTGTGACTGAATCCATGGGCACATGTTTATATTTACAAGAGATGTTTATGCTAACACTTCTTTTTTTTGGGGTAAATTTTTTATCATTCTCCTTTCCTCATTTGCTGCTGTCTTTTTGCCCCTATGAAATGTTGCTCATTGCTAAATTATTACCAGTATTTAAAAGGGAAGGGTGAACTTGCTGCTTAAAACAGAGGGGGAAAAGCAAGAAAATTTTAGAGGTGCTTTTAGTAAAAAACTTGGTAAATATTCAGCTCTTTTTTTTTTTTGTTTTGTTTTTTAAAGAGAAGTGTTTTTGTGAAATCAGTTGATAACATTTTCATCTAAATCTAGTTATTATCCCCTATTTGAGAAGCACTTAGCTCAACAAGGCTTTGTGCCTTCACTGAGGTTTCCAGGTATCATCAGATCAAGAATCTTAAGTTAAGCATGGATAAAACATAACAATGCTTGTTATTTTCTCCCTCCAAAAAGAAAGCAAATACCTTGAGGCATCTGACACTGATGGTGTAGACTAAGCCAATTGGGAGGCTTTTCATTTCATATTTTGGCACTGAATTTTATTCATTTTTGAGTCCTTTTTCTCTTGACATTCCACAGGTTTTGGATGTGATGGACTAACCCCAGTCTAGATCTCTGCGAATAATCAGATTTTGAATTTCAGGGTTTGCTAAGGAGTGCTGGATTTGCAGTTTGAGTTCCCAGCATTAGGAATTCCACCAGAGGATGGGTTTCCACTTGTATGTGGCACTCTTTGGAGCACAGAGTCCTCTCCCAAGGGCAGCAGCACGGATCTGCTGCCAGGAGGTAAAAGGAGCTGCTGGAGGGCACTGCCCTGCATCCCCACTCCAACTGCCCTGCCCAGTCTGGTGTGCCAGCCTTGGAGAGAGAGTGCTGGAATAATATTCAGGATTATCCCTCCTTGTAGGAATCTCAGCATCACCTCGGTGCCTGGTACCCAGAGCCTGCTTCTGGCTCAAGAACTGACCTCAATCAGAGAGCAGAAAAGCAAATTATCTCCCTGCTTCCACAGTTTGCTCCCGAAGGACTCCAGAACCTTGCATAAACAAAAACTAATTATAATACACACACACACACACAGAAAAAATTTAGTAAAAAGTCAAAGCTGTGCTGGTAGGCTGAACAAAAAGGAAGCTGGGAGAGTGAATGTCACAGTGCCATCTACTGACACCAGCCCCGAGCGGGGAGGGAGAACACCCAACTGCAGGGGGAAAAATAAATAAATAAGGCTGGGAGTCTTGCAAGGATTATGTTTAAAGGAAGGAGATGACTGCTAATTAATGTGACAAGAGAGAAAGCCTCACCTACTGACAGGTTATTCATCCCACAAGTGTTAGAATCCTCCTCAGCGATGTCTGTTCTTATAATTCCTGGAGAAAGGCTCGTGCTGGAGGAACAGCTGACCAGAACCCTCAGTGCCAGCTCCCATCTTTCTATTTTCTCTTGATGAGCTTTACACCAGAGGAGAATTACAGCCTGCTCTGTGGCAAGCAATTTGAAGACATAAAGGAATGCAATTGTGGAATAAAACCCGCTCTGTGTGCTGTGAGATAACTTCACCTGACACAGAAAATGAGCGGTAACTCGGAGGCAGGTAGGAGCAACATGTAATCCAGTTGACATAAATGAAAAGATGATATTGGCAGAAAATTGGGCTGCGTGTGAATATAAAGGCTGTTGAATAACAGGGAGTGGAAAATGACATGCTCAGCAGCAGCGAGGGAAAGATGAAAGGAGTTCAGGAAACATTTGTACGGGAGAAGCCAAGCACGAGTCAACAAAGGCTGGAATTCTCTGCTCCTCAAAGCAGAACTGAGTGCTGCAGCTTCAGCCCTACCTGTGCTCAGGGCTGGCAAGTGGTAAAGTGTCAAAACAATTCGAGTTTATTCTCTGGTTGCTAATGTGCCAGCTGAAGTGGAGGCTGAGATGTTCAGCAAAACCATTACTAAGCAAAATGAGGCATCATCATCCTCTGTATCGCTGTCAGTAATTCCAAGGTAAGGATGAAATGAAGGGCGAGCAGAGAGTGATTGAGGGGAAAATAAAGCCAAGGAGTGAGGAGACTGCAGCATGTTGATTGAAAAAAAGCCTTCTGTGTACTCTGAAGGGTCGTGCCAAGTATGAGAATTCAGGAGGAGGGGAGAAGTGAGCACCTGAGCTGGGCTTGCTGAGATTCACTCCAGGTACGTGGTGGCAGATGGAGCTCACATCCTGAGAGAGGCTGAGAGGTGAAAGTCATAATGAACAGCCTTCACAAGGTAAAAGCAGAAGAAATATTAGAGCTGTTACAGGAGAGCAAGCAGGAGATGTTCAGATTTATGAGTTCTTTTGGAGAGCAGCCATGGTTTGTCTTTATTTCCTAGTAACTGGTTCTTGATTTGAGCTTTGTCAGGTCATCAGATTAGTGCCATCAGCTCTGAAGGGTTTTCAGCCCTTCCTTTGGATCATCTAGCAGGCTCAAAATGAACATGTGGAGTGCAAGCAGGATCTGCTTTTGGGGGAGCTGTCCTGAAAAGCAAAAGCAATGGAAAAAAGTAAGGAGAGAGAGAGGATTTTATTATGGCACCATCTGTCTCCTCGCTGTTAATATTTCTTTCCCCTCTTTGCAGTGATTCTGAATATTTAAGGATGGATGTTGGGTTTAAGGGTTTAAGGAGGGATGTCTGAGGAGGGAAAGTTCCAGAAGGGACCATGGCTGTGGCTGTCCCTTCACAGAGAGCAGGTCTGGCTGAAGGCCCCTGTGTGACATCGATCTTAAAAGTGACACACAGAGCGAGCCTTGGCTTGGAGGGGGGCCAGCGAGTGAATTCTCATTTCCTTGGTCCCATTCTCTCCTTCCTTGCTTTGCTTCATTTGAAGATTGTGATGAGGCACCAGACCTGTCTCAGGCAGTGTGCCTTTTGCACAGCACCTGCAACAGACCCCTACTGGATGTTACAGCACCCTGGCAAGGGCTCTGCTCTCCTGTTTTTCAGCTGACCCAGGGATTTCAAACAGCAGTTTCATTTTTCCTCTTTTAATTTAATTGGAGAACGTAAAAGGAGCTTTTGACTTTTACTGGTGGAACCTGAGGAGGACTGAAGTGGTTTAAACTCGACAGACCTTAATCGTGCAGGGCAGCCTTCTAAACTTTTGTTTACCTCCTGTGAGCTGCTGAAGAGAGGAGGGCAAAAAAGGGAAGAAAAGAAAAAAAAAAAAGAAAAAAAAGGCAGCTTTCAGTTACTGAACCCCCTCGTGGTATTGAATTCTAACCAAGTACATCCAGCCCTGCCAGCCAGAAATGCCAAAAGGAGGAAAGCTGCTGAATCAGAGGAGAATCAGGATTGGGAGGATGGTAGGGAATATGAGAGTAGCACTGGGTGAGTTCATTTGATAGACTTATTGCTCTTTTGTATTTGCAGATCATCTGGGAGCAAACTTCTCGAGGTTTTTTTATTATCATCGCTGGGTTTTGTTCCTAAATTATTTAGCAAATGTTTCCTGGGAGCTGCTTCCAGCATATAGATGAGTTATCCCCAGCTACTTGCTGGTCTAAGGAATAAGTTCTGCAGCTCTGAGCTGAGCTTGCAAGATGCAAAATCTTTGAGCACCCTGGGCTGGGTAAACGAGGAGCTCCTGGTGCTCTGCACCCCTCGGGTTCAAATTTTATTTACAGGGTGGAGAGTGGTCACTTCAGTGCTGCTGTTTCAATTCTGCTCCCTCAGTGAGTAACTCTTGAGGGCTTTTCAAATCCCTCGAGATTTAAAGGCTCCTTCCACCTCCTCAGAGCCACCCTGGCACTTTGTGCTGCTGTGGGGCCCTGGTGGGCTGGCAGCACGTGGGAGCTGATGGGCACCGAGGTCCAGCAGCAGCACAAGGTCACCAGGCTGGCCTGGGGCCCTTTCCTGACCTTCCCATGGCTCTGCAGTGTCCTTCTCCGTGTCTCCTTGGGACAGATTGTCCCTCAGTCGCCAGCTGGGAGTGTGGGCATGGTTTGGGAAGTTTGCTGAGTGCCCTTCTCTGCCAGGGTGGAGCAGCCCTGGGCACTCAGGGTGGACAGACCTTTGCAGCCGCGGTGGCTGGGATGGAGCCTCTCTTGCTGAGGGCTGGTCCAGAACCCCCACATTTACCAGGCAGTCACTTCTCTTTTATTTCCCAAGCAGAGACATCTTTGACCCCAAAATGAAATGATCCCACTGCTGGTGGGAGCTCTGAGCAAGTGTCCATTTTCCTGAAGACTTCACTGGGTGTGGGAATCCAGAGCATCCCTCTGGCTGCCCTGGGACCCTGGCAGGGGTCAGGAACCCCCCTGGACAGAGCCCCCAGAGACACTGGCTGTGATCTCTGGCCATGGAAAAGAGTTTTCAATCCTACAGGATCAATTACAAGCTCTGAGTGTTTGATATAAGCAATAATTCAGTGTGGCACAGGTGCAAAAGTAAAATTTTAGGATTCTAGATGAGGGGTCCAAAGGGGACAAGATGGAGGAAATTGGGTGTGTCTTGTCCTTTTTCTCCTTCTTCATGCCCTCCATGTTTCACTGTGGTGTTGGCATTTTTCTGTTGGTTCAGGCTGGGGACACACTGTTCAATGTAGGTGACAGATATTGGCACGTTATTGTAAATCCAGCCCAGGTAGTTTGTGGTATTTAATGTTTGTACCATCCCACTGAGGGCAGAGCCCCACACGCTGCCCTGCAGGACAGAGCTGCGGCAGGGCAGCAGAACATGTTAGAGATAAACAGAATAAACAACCTTGAAACCAGCACAGACCAATTATGGCTTCTGCTTTGGCAGCGGGGCTGACAGACAGAGACTTTCTACAATCTTGGGATCATCAATATCACAGATTCTGACAACTGGGGTGCCAACCCAAACCCAATTGGATTTTGAGGCACCAAGCAGCCCCCGTGGCACGTTTTCAGCTGTTTATTGTTTTGAAAAATGCCAGTCTGGTGGCATTATCAGGAAACTGAGGAGATACGGCAGGAATGTCTTTGCTGAGCATGGTTTGCTACAGGAAGCTGTGCAGTCATCAGCTGATTAATGCCAATTTATTTAGAAATCGAGTCTGGCCGTGGCTGTCTGCTGCTCCAAAAGATCCTGTTGTGTCCTTTCTCCACCACACTCGCTGGAGCGTGTTTGCTAAAGTTGCTGTTGCATATGTTTGGGCAATAAAACATTTACAGCTATTTCAGAAATTGCTGCAGTAGGCAGTTTTCCTCATTAATTTTACCATGCTGGATGGGATTTCACGAGGTGTGAAGGCGTGCAGAGTCATACCTGACACCATCCCTGTTCCTGCTTGCAATGCCAACCTCTTTAAGGAAAAATGAAATCAGAATGGGATGTTTTGGGGGAAATGGAATTGGCAGCTCCACATCCAGTGATCAGCCAGAGAATCACAGAAAATCCTGAGCTGGGAGGGATTCACAAGGATCATCCACGTCCTGCTCCTGCAGATTTACTCTGATTGTTCTTTGCTCCTTCTTGCCCAAGACTATGGAGACTTTCGAATACCTCCGGGGCCCTGCAGGGAGAAACGGGCTATAAAAATATAACAATAATGATTTCTTTCTCCCACCTCCATCTGAGGAATCTCTGAGCGTGTTTCAAATATCAAAGAGCAAGAAACCCATTGTAGTGCTGTCCCCTGGGTAAAGGTGGGAAAAGGAGGCCCTGAGAGGTATCAGGAATTGTACAAGGCTAAATGGAAAGTGAGCAGCAGATCAGGAGACAGACCTGAGGGCAGAACCTTTGGGTTCTGACCCTTTTTGCAGGAATTGTCCTCATTTTGGGGAGAATTTTTTTAATCTGTGCCCTTAAACACTTCATATCTGGTTGAAATTTTGATGTTTCCTGCAGAAAGAAGGCTTCTCTTCCATTTTAAAAGTGATGTCTGCACTAAAATACAACAAATCAAAGAATGCTCTGCTCCATCCTCTGTCCCAGAGCTGTATCTCAGCCCGAGTCTCCTGGAAATATTAAGACAGATGATGGATAGAGACAGGTCAAAGCAGAGATGCTCTGGAATTATCCTTTTCATATTCCAAAAGAATGAGCTCATGTTATTCCTCACTTTCAAATTTGTCCCAATTTATGGGGTAGATAAGGCTGGAATTTTGAAGGGCAACATCACGAATTGCTTTTCTTATTGATCGAGCTTTTAATGTGCCAACAATGAAAACAATAAAACTTGCATTTAAAAACAAACATTTCTAGCACAGGAGCTGCATTAAAATGACACAAATTGCTTTTGTGGGCTGAATTTAACAGAACACCCATGAGGTTCCACTTAAAAACAACAAGCCAACAAAAATCAAATTGCATTGTTTTACAGGCAAACAAAATGGTGAGCACGCCTTGGGCTACGTTTTCAGCGTGTTTTCTTGGGAGATCAAAGCTTAAATCCCATTAACCCTTCAAATGTCAGCCTGGTGAGTTCCTTGCCTTTACCTCTGAGCTTCTGGTGCTGCCTTCAGCAAGGAGCCGGGGCTCTGCCTGGGTCTGCTGCTGTTCCTCCTCCTCCTTTCCCCCACCAGCATCTCCACCTTGTAAGTGTGCAGAGTTCAAACAGCCCCTTTAGCCAGCCCACATTGCTTCCCCACTTTACTGACTTGGAGATCTGGCCAGGAGCCAGCACTCAAATACATTTATTTTGGGTTTTACCACTCACTGTGATGCCTCAGGTTTTGGCTTTTCTATTTTTCAGACTCTGCTTTAGTGTGTGGGTCTGAGCTTCACATGAGGGGATGCTGAGCTCTGCACAGAGCAGAGACAAAACAATTCCTGCTCCAGCTGGGCACCAAGGACAAATGATCCAAACCTCAGCCCAGGAGCACAAACACCGTGGGCTGGAGAGAGAAAAACAAGCAGGATGGGACTGCCTGGGCTAAAGCTGGAATGGGACAATGAACTCCAAGGTGCCAATGGAGCAGAACTGATCCCAGGGAGAGCCCCCGGGAGCACTCGTGCATTTTGGGACCTTTTTGTTTCATTTTGTGGCCATTTGGGTTTGTCTTGGGCTCATTTTGGGACCATTTTGCTTCATCTTTTGTTCATTTTGGGACCATTTTGGTTCATCTTGGGTTCATTTTGGGACCATTTTGGTTCATCTTGAGTGCAGCCCAGGCTGGGCTCTGGTGCTACCCAAGGTGGATCCATGGATTAGATCCTTTAATAAATCCCTGCTTTATTCTTTAGCTCTGTCCAGCTCTGCTCTAGGCCAGTTTTTGTTACCCCCCTGGCAAGTGGCTGAATGAGGCTTTGTTGGCCAGCAGAGCCATTTTGGAGCAAATTAATATTTGTTGGGTGTTTGTTAAAGACCTCTTGGACACCAGGTATGCTGGTGGTGGATAGCTGGTCGCTCACAGTGAAGGAAAGCTGATTTATTTTGGTGTTTGTCACCTGTTCCAACCAACACTGGCCATCTGACGTGCTTCCTAAACAAATAAATGCCCACAAGATGCTACTTTCTGAGGGTTTGCTGCTTTCTCAGGGACAATAAATGAATATTTTGCACAAATATGTGGTGGGCCAGCTCCTAATCTGCCTCACCCTCATTTCCCTGCTCTGCTGGGGCCTTGCCTCTTGGGTAAATACAAAAACCCTTCCAAGCAGTTGTTAATTCCAAATATCTGCGTGTCCACATACATGACAAGGATCAGGAAACAGAACAGGTGCAGCATTTTGGGACTTGTTTGGGAGCATGGAAAGGTTTGGGAGCAGGGAAAGATTTGGGAGCAGGGAAAGATTTGGGAGCAGGGAAAGATTTGGGAGCATGGAAAGATTTGGGAGCAGGGAAAGGTTTGGGAGCAGGGAAAGGTTTGGGAGCAGTGAAAGGTTTGGGGACCATGGAAAGGTTTTGGGACCATGGAAAGGTTTGGGAGCAGCAGCTTCTCCCCCTTTTGGGACTGGTTTGGGAACATGGAAAAGTTGGGGAGCATGGAAAGGTTTGGGGAGCAAGGTTTGGGGAGCAGCAGCATTTTCCCCCTTTTGAGAGTGGTTTGAGAGCAGGGAAAGGTTTGGAAGCATGGAAAGGTTTGGGATCATGGAAAGCTTGGGAAAGCAGCAGCTTCTCCTCCTTTTGGAACTGGTTTGGAAGCATGGAAAGGTTTGGAATGATGGAAAGATTTGGGGAGCAGCAGCTTTTCCCCTCTGAATATTTGGGAGCTGTAGGATTTATCCACCCCAGCCTGTGGTGATACTGAGAGTCCCACGGATGCTTGAAGCATTTGGAAACGTGCCAGCAGAAAGGGGTCAAAAGGGAGGATTTTTTTTCCCCCGTGAAATCCAGGAAAAAAAAAAAAAAAGTAGAGAAAGAAAGGGGAAAGAAGGAGCCTGAAGCGAGGAGCTGTGGCAGAAGGTGGACGTGGCCCGGCTCACCCAGGAGCAAACTGCATTTCCCCTCGCTGGGCCTCCTGTGCACATGCCAGAGCTGACTGCAGAAATGTGCAGCTCCAGTGCCAGCCCACAGCTGTGTGCAGCTGTGTCCAGCTGTGCCTCCCAGCCCCTCACAACTGGATTTTCACACAGGAACATCCCCTTCCCACAGGGCTCCCCCAGCTCGTGGAAAACACAGCCTGTTGTTGGAAGGGCATTTTGGGGAGGTTTTTACACCCCCAAATAACTCAATTTGAGATTTCTTTTTCCAGTCCCACACCCTCCTGCCCCCTTCCCTTTAGGAATGCCTCATCCTTGCTCTTTCCAAGGGAAAATGAGAGTTCAGCTCACTGAGCTTTCCTTCTGAAGGATTGGGATGTGAAACCTTGAAAGGCCAAGGACACAAATCTGATCTGTGAGCAGGGACAGGACCTGGGGGAACAACTGGAGCTGTGTCAAGGGAGGTTTGGTTGGATTTTAGGACAAGAATCTTCCCCCAGAGGGTGTCAGGCACTGAACAGCTCCCCTGGGAATGGGCACCAAGGCTGCCAGAGCTCCAGGACAATGCTCTGAGGGACAGGGTGGGATTTTTGGGACTGTGAAGGGTCAGGAGATGGACTGGATGACCCTTGTGGGTCGCTTCTCACTCAGGATATTCTGTGATTCCATGAAATCAGACCCCCAAGGTTGTGTCCTCCTGAACACCAGCAGGGACACTGCCACAGGATGGCAGTGCCTGTTTGTCACCCTGCAGTGCCCATGTGGCATGGCAGAGTCCCTAAATCCCTAAATCTGTCCTACAAACCTCAGGCACAGAATAAAATCTCCCTTTTCCCTAAATCTGTCCTACAAACCCCGGAACAGAATAAAATCTCCCTTTTCCCTAAATCTGTCCTAGAAACTGCAGGCACAGAATAAAATCTCCCTTTTCACCCTTGATGTCCTACAAAACCCAGAATAAAATCTCCCTTTTCCTTAAATCTGTCCTACAAACCCCAGGCACAGAATAAAATCTCCCTTTTCCCTAAATTTGTCCTACAAACCTCAGGCACAGAATAAAATCTCCCTTTTCACCCCTGATGTGCAGGTGCTTCAATGCCATAAATCAACAACAAATGCCATAAATCTGAGGCAAATGAAAGAATAAGAAGAAGAAAAGAGGAAGAATATTTGAAAGGTTTTTATTAGTTTAGAAGCTGGCTAATGATGGATTGGATGATTTGAAAGGTCTTTTCCAACCTGAGTGATCCCATGAAATTTGCTGGATAAGGCTCGAAGAGAATCTCTCATTCAGGAGCAGAAGGTACAGAAGTTTTGTTATTTTCATTCCTATTTTTAATTTACTCTAAATCTGTGAAGAGGAAAACTGAATTTTATCATGGGTGGGCAAAAAAACAAACAAACAAACAAACAAAAAAAACACAAACAAAAAAACCCCCAATAACCCAACCTTTTCCAATGTCTTCATTTCTGGCAGTTTGGGGGTATTTAGGAGTGGCAGAGGTTGTTATTGCATATAGGAAGGTTTTATTGCTTCCCCTTCAGTGCAAACTCGGTTATGTCTGTCCCCTCAATTTCCCCTTTTGCTACTGGGACGAGGAAATGAAGAGAAAGGAGGGAAACACCAAAAAAGGCAGCACTGGTTTCCCTTTGCCTGCCACTCAGAGCCTGCCCATGTGTTTTGGGGGAGAGGAGAAATCAAAATGTATCTCCAGACACAGATTTTGCCTTCTCAGCCAGGACTGGAGAGGAGCTGGGAGGGGATTGCCTGTGCCACCCTCTGCCAGGGGTTTTGTCTCTGCAGCTCGGCAGCTCTTGCAGAGACTTGTCCCAAAAATCACATACCACAGCCAGACCTGCCAGGACGCTGCTTTTCCCTCAGTTTTCCAGGGGATTTCAGGAGCGTGGGGAGCTGCAGTAATGCTGTGCTGGAAACCCAGATCCAGGGAGAATTTCCCTGCACAATGGGTTGCTTTTAGAGAGGTTTGCTCCAAATGCAGAGTCCAATTTCCAATGTGAAGCGAGGTGTGATTTTTAATTTAGTTTTGTATGGGTTTTTTTTGTTGTTTTTTTTTTTTTTTGCCCCTAATCCCATCATCATTATTCTGCTCTGAGCCCCTCTGCCAGAGGCTGGGGCTGGTTTGAAATGCAGCTCCTTCCCCTGGTGCTTGCATGGAAGAAAGGCTGACCTGGGCACTGGGTGGCCGTGCCCAGCACTGGTGGCACAATGACAGGATTACCAAAATCCTTTAAATCCATCCCCTGCTCTGAGGCCGCTTTGCAATTAGTTGGGAATATCCCTGTTTTGTGTTTGCTGTAGGATGATGGATGTGGTTTCTTTCCACAGTGGAGAATTCGGATGGGTTTTGCTTCCATCTGAGGGTTGCTGTGATGCAGCACAGAAACATCATCCCCTTACGGGGTGCTGGTGATGCCTCTGGGGTGGGAATGTGGGATCCCACCCCTCTGGTGTTCCCACAGGGTGGTGCTGGACTCTCCTTTATCCCACAGACACGCTGAGGTTGGCCAAGTGAAACTTTTCCCCGGCTCTACGTTCTCACGCGCCATTTCTGTACAGGAAAGTTAATATCTTGGGTTTTTCCTTTTGGGACAGCCAGGAAGTGAAGGCATCAAACAAGCAGGACCTGGTGGGCTCCGAAGGCATCCTGGAGGCATTAGATATGGCTGGCATTTGATCCAGCAACTGAGGCTTTCCTGCTTTCTTGATTCCCCCTTTTTTGTGCCCGTGCGCACACAATGGGCCCCATTATGAGCGCCATGTGCAAACCCCAGAGAAGGGCAGATGTTTCCCACCCAAAAAATTCATTCCTCTCAGGCTGACACACAGAGAGGCCTCTCCCCAAGACCTCCAAGGCACAGAGGTGCACGTTTCTGGGGGTTTTGTGCACATTTGGGGAGCAGCAAAGAATTCCCTCCCTGCCTGGTTTGCTGACGTTCCCAGCAGGAATAAAAGCTGGGATGGTGGAGGAGAGCGGCTGCTCTCAGCTGGAGCGTGCTGAGGGCTCTGGGCATGGACACACCTGGACTTTGGGAGAGTTTTTTCCCATCAGAATAATTTCCTGATCATTGGTGTTGATGCTTCTCGGATAAAAAGTGCTCTTGGAGGGGGTGGGATTGATGTGCAAGTGTTTAAAGAGGGATCTTTTTGTCTAAAAACGGATCTAAACCTAAAATTCTAGGTTTAAAAGGGGATCAGCGAGGTCTGAAAGGAGATCTCTGGGTCTAAAAAGGGATCTCTAAGTCCAAAAGGGGATTTCCAGGCCTAAAATGGGATTTCCAGGCCTAAAATGGGATTTCTAGGCCTAAAAGGGATCTCTAGGTCTAAAACAGAATCTCTAGGCCTAAAATGGGATCTTGGGGGCCTAAAAAGGGATCTTTAGGCCTCAAAGGGCATCTCTGGGTCTAAAAGGGAATCTCTGAGATTGAAAGGGCGTCTCTGGATCTAAAAAAGGAAATATCCAAGTCTAAAAAGAGGATCACTAAGTGTTAAAAGAGTTGTCCCTGGGATCCAGGATGTGCACACCCCAAAGTGACAGCGGTGGCAGTGGGAAGAGCAACCCCAAAGCAAAATTTTCTTGTCACCAGCTCAGCCCAGAAAATGTGTCCTTCTATGAGCAGCTCTGCTCAGCCAGGGCCTGTCCTGCCAAAAACACATTTCAGGGAAATCAGGGCATGGGAAAAACGCAGCCACTCCCCACATTGGTCACTTGGTATCTAAGTGAGGTACAAATTGGGCTACCAGGGTGATAAAGGGTGTTCAAGCCAGGAAAAGGTGCTGGAGGCGAATCTCTTGGGGAAAAAAGGCAAATTCTGGTGTTTTCTAGCTGTGTGAAATGGGATAATGTTCTCCTGCAGTGAACTGGAAGAAGAGAACATTTAAATTCTAAATGTTAAGCCACCAAAATATTGATAAAGGGATGCTTTTCATTTAAGCTCTTTCCTCCCTGTGAAAAACCATTGTTTTGGGGACAAAACCCAATTTATTGACTCAGTTTCAACTCAAGATGGAGCATTCCTGAAGTGGAGGTGTGCTTCCGGTCCTCTTCCGAATTAAATGCTCCAATTTTCCATTTGGAAATTACTTTTCACTTCCATTTTTGTATAGCATGAATACTTTTTTTTTTTTAAGTATTTTTTAAAATATTGATTTTAATATTAATAGAAAAGTATTTTTCTATTTTGACTTTTTAAAAAAAAAAGTCAAAATAGAAATGGAGTTATTTGGATTTTAGCTGGAGCTGGGGAGGAAATATTTTGTGTGGGAACTGAGAGGATCTTTGAGTATCTCAACATTTTGAGCCCTCCTTCTTCTGATTTTCCAAAATACACCTCAAAAATGTGGGGAAAAGCAGAAATCCAGAAGAGATTCCAGCTTACAAGGAGCAGCTCAGTGTGAAGGTCAGCTCTCCATGTTCTTGCACAGCACGTGCCAGAATATTTCACTGCTGGGACAGAAAGTCTGTATTTAAGTAGCAATAACTCACACGAGGGATTGACAGATTGGAATGCACCTGGTTCAGGCTGTTGGTCGCTAATATCATTCCCAGTTTTCTCTGCTGAAAGGCAGCTGGGATAGTTTATGGGATGTCCAGCCTTTCTTAGAGCTGTTTTACTTAAATATGCCCCCAAATTAAACTCCTGGGGTGGGGTCCCTCGAGGGACAGATAAATTTAGGAGTGTGGTGGAAAAACCTCCGTGTTTCCCACATGGCTGAGCCAAACTTGTCCCTTTAAAGACACCCCAAAAAAACCCAGAATCTCCCCAAAATTCACCAGTTGCTCCTGAAAATCGAGGCCAAGCTCCTGAGCTGGCAATATTGTTTGAAAACAATGGGGCTGGATTAGATGAGAATTATTTTAACACTTCGGAAGGCTGCCAAGTCATTTCCTTCTCATTTATTGATTTTTTCCGTTGCCAGTAAATATATCTGCGGCAGCAGGATGAAAGGAGAGGGGGGGAAAAGCAAAGTGTTAAGAAGGAGACTGAAACAAGATATGTGCCCTGAACCTCTGGGAAGGAGGAGGACATTTTAAGGCAGAAGGAAGCAGGGGATTCATGGAGGCATTTCGCGGGGTTAGACGTGGTAGCAGACAGCCCAATATTATTTTCCTTGCCTGATCCTTTACTTAGATTGGCTCCTGTTTCTTCCCCTCATTGTGCAGTCCCTGCGTGAGCTGCTCTCCCTGTAAAGACATTCCACCTACATTCCTTTGCCACCGGGTGAGAGGAGGGGGGAGTGCAATTATGTGGGCAAGCCAGACACAAAAGGCTCTGCTCCACAGCTCAAGCTCATAAACTTCAGTTAACTTTTCCCCTTTAAAAAATATTAAAAAAACCCCAAAAAACCAACCAAAAAAAAAAAACCACACCAAAAAAACACCACCAAAGACTCTATTCCTCTCCTACCAGCCTGCAAGTGAAGGGTTTGGAGCTGTAACTATCCCACCTATAAATATTTCCCTCCCCAGCACTCTGTAGATCACCACAGAATAAATAGGTTTTAATTTTTTTTGGCAGCATCCACGCTTCTCTCTGGCTTTTTTTTTTACCTGCATCTCTGTGTTAATCACAGAATCCCAGAATGGTTTGTGTTGGGAAGGACCTAAAAGATCCTCTCGTTTCAACCCCTGCCATGGGGAGGGACACCTTCCACTGGAGGTGGGAAAAGATTGAAAAGTTCCTGGGATTAAAATGCCATAGGTGAATCATTTTCCAGGGATATTCATGTCATAATGGGATCTAATGGGGGCCATTATGGCATTTATCCAAGAAGTTTTCCAGGCTACAGGTGTGACCTTGCTTTTCTCCATCCTGGAGAGTCGTGTCTCAAGCTACGTCAGGGAAGGTTTAGGTTGGATATTAGGAAAAAAATTTTCACTGAAAGAATAATAAAATACTGGAATTGTCTTCCTAGGGAGGTGATGGAATCACCATCTCTGGATATGTTTAAAAAAGACTGGACTTGGCACTTAGTGCTATAGTCTAGTTGTGGTGTTGGGGCACAGGTTGGACTTGATGATCTTAGAGGTCTCTTCCAACCTCATTATTCTGTGATTCTGTGATTCTGTGATTCTGTGATTCTGTGATTCTGTGATTCTGTGACTCTGTGTCGCCATCCTGGCT